TTCTCATAGACATCATTGTAGGATAAAGAGTTTCAAAAGCCCATGCTTTTGAAAATGATTTTCAATTTTTAATAGAAGCTACAAAAATGCTTTGGGGTGATCAAAAGCATAAAGGGAAAGAATTTGAAAGAGTCTTATTATTTGAAACTATTCTAAAGGTTTATACTTGTTACACTATTTTCTTTTGATGCATATTATTGGTCACGGCCTTAATTTATTAGTGCACAGTCTCGAATCAGAAATGCAGCCTCCAATAATAACCGGGTGAAAGAATACTTGCTCTGAAGGAAGGGCTGAGCTCAGCAGTGTAGAAGCAGGGATAGAAAATGAATTTTGATGTACTTTTTTTTTTTTTTAAGAAATTGACTGCAGCCATTCCTATCTCTTTCTAACAACTCAAACTGACTATAATTGGAACACAAAGACCAGTCATTCAACTCTCCCACCCCTGGCCTTTCCTGCTGTTCCATGCCGTGGAATGAATGCTGGCAGCCCTGAATCATTCCAAGTCACTGGTAATGCACTGCAGTCAGCAGAGCTTGTATTTATGTCTGCTTTCTTCAGTGTCAAAGTGGGGATCGCAGAGCATTATTAGTGAAAGGGCCTGAGCAACCCTGTCTAGACCAATGGTTTTCAACACTGACTGCAATTAGAATAAAGAGGGGCCTTGTAAAAAAGTTAACAATGCTCAGGCCTCAGCTTCAAAGAGTGAAATTTAGTTGGTCTGGTAAGAGGTCCTGGCTTTCCTAACTTTGAAAAGCTCCTCCAGGTGATTTTAACATAAATAACCACAGTTAGAAATCACTATTCCTGCTTAGTCTTTTCATTAAATGAGCAAATGAGGACACAGAATGTTCAGGTAGGTAATGACAGATCTTGTTACCTTATAGGGAATTCCTGTGCTAAGAAGTTTCTCAAAACTTGGAAACAAGGCAGAATGGTGACACCATGCCTTAATAAACATAAGCCTACACAAGGGCCATTTGACTCTCTAGGGAAAGTAACTTTTATTTTTCTCATTATTACCACTAATCAAGGTCCAGATATTTTTAGCTGCAAAGCTTAAATGTTAACTTGTGGAAAAAGAATACAATATGATGCAAATGAGTATTTGTATACTAGAAATAAAAATTATTTTTGTTCTACTGAGATGATAAACCCAAAGGTTATGATTTTATTGCCCTGTGGGGACATTAACCAGTTTTATATCTAACTTAGTAATCTTATTCCAGCATAGTTTTCTGTTTTCCTCCCTCCCTCTTTCTAAAAGTTCATTGCCTTATCTTTCTCCCACCTTCCTTTGGCTCTAGCATCCTTCTAGTTATCTCATTAATGATAAAGAAACTTTTGACATTTGCTTCCTAAGTATTTATGTGAAAATTATGAGTATAAAATTACAAGCACTGTGTCTTAACACTTGAAAATGATGTCATTTTTGGTAGGGCATCTTAAACCATTTAGAAAGCTTTAATTGATCATTTGAGATGTAATTTACTCTGTTCTCCAAATATATTACTCATCAACCACATTCGGAAGCCAAAAGCTACAGACTTTCCCTTCAGGCAAAGTGGAGTAATAAAGACCTCGTTGACCCTCCCTCTTTAAAATAATTCACGGACAAAATATATGAAACTATAGTAGACATTAGGCACTGGGAGCCCAGTAAAGTGACCAGATCACTTTACTGATCTGTCGAGGAGTAACAAATGAGTTGAGCATTAAGGTGGCCCCAGCTTCGACCTAGAAAATTTCCAAGCCACCATGCAGTCAGTGTGTCCTTGAGCTGAAAAGGAGGCCAAGGCAGTTAAAGCTCTCAGGACAGAATATCATGGAGGACCCAACTGCACAGGGACAGCCCCAGATATCTGACAGGGCACCCCTGGCATCTTTAATCAGGATCTAACTACAGGGAAGGAAACTACCTGAGGCTAGGGTAGGGTCAGGGGGCATGATACTTGTTGTTCATATGGGATGGAAATGGCTGCTCTTCCTGTTAGCCAGAATGGAAATCCTCATATTTTATGGCCTGTTGGGTATGGAATACATAGTGAAGAAAAAAATCATTTCTAAAATCTGCTCTGATCCCAATTAACAAAGTTTAAAAGCAAAACCTGAAAGACTCAAACTGTTTCCAAATAACTGCATCCTAGAACCAACACTAAAAATATTCCTGGGAATATAAAAATAACCCGCACACAATAAAGTAAAATTTAAAATGTTTGGTATTCAATGCAAAATTAGCAGGCATGCAGAGAAGCAGGAAAATGCAATGAAAAGAAATATCAAGCAATAGAAACAGACCCAGAAATGACAAAAATGTTAGCATTAGTAGACAAGGACATTAAAAACATATAGTAATTATAACTATATTCTATATTTTCAAGAAGGTGGGTAGAAGATAAAACATGTTAAAAAGAGACGTGAAATATATTTTTAAATGACCCAGATAGAACTTCTGGAGATGAAAACTAGAATGTATGACATTTAGAATATTCTGAGTAGGTTAAACAGTGAATTAGACGCTAAATAGAATTAGTGAACTTGAAGGCATAGCAACAGAAACCATCCACAATGAAGCCCTTAGAGAAAAAAAGACTGAAAAAAAGCAAATGAGCAGACCATCAGAGAAAAGATTCAATATACATGGACTGGAGAAATGAAGTTCCTGATGGAAAATGGGGAACAGGAAAAATATGGCTTAATTGTTTTCTAAACTTGATTAAAGTTGTAAATCCATAGTTCTAAGATGCTCAACCAACCCCAAGCCTACCAGACAAGGAGAAAATTTCATTAAGGCACAGTACAGTTAAATTGTTTACAATAAAGAGGAAAATGTTCCAAGTACCCCGAGGGGGGAAAAACATGAAGTTGTGCTGTCTTCCCTAGATTACACAATGTCCAACTCCATATACCCCAGCCTTGGTAAACCACCCTGGGCCTCTGGGCTTAAACAACATGACTTTATCTCTCACACAGAGCTCCAAATGCAAATAGAATTTCTAATGTATATTACGAATCTTTTCCTTATTTAGTAATGTTTCTTTTTAGCAGGGTAGGAGCTGGGACAAAGCAATGCTCAGGTATCAATTTTAAGGGTCCCTCCACAAAAAAAAAACCTCAGTAATTAAGTAATGTTTTTAAGAATCAGATTGAAAGCAAGAAAATATTTGATTAATAGAATACTAAAAACTGTGAATAAAGACAGGATGCGCGACCCTGGGCTTACATTACTTACCAAAGCATCTTCTTTCTTTCTTTTTTTTTTTTTTTTGGTACCAGGAATTGAACCCAGGGGCCCTTAACCACTGAGCCACAACCACATCTACAACCCCTTTTTTAGTTTTTATTTTGAGACAGGGTCTTACTAAATTGGTTAGGGCCCCACTAAGTTGCTGAGGGCCCCACTAAATTGCTAAAGCTGGTTTTGAACTTGTGACTCCCCTGCCTTGGCCTCCTGAGTTGCTGAGATTACAAGTGTACATCCCCACACCAGCTCCTTCTTTCTTAATAATAGTTCAAATTTCCTTAATTTTTCCCCTCTCCTGAAGTCAGCTTCTTTGAGTCCAGATTATGTTCCTTTTTTGAATAATTGCTTCTGTGCTAGACTGGTTTATCAAGGAATTGAAATCTTTTAACAAAGTATCCCTAATGAAATGGATAACCAAGAATAAAGCAAAATTTTACTTATTAACGAAAAGTTGAAATTTTTGTCTTTTAAGGCACAGAGATGTTGCAGGAGGGTTATTGTGTTGCCATGGTTGCAAGTTTGCCTTGGCATTTTCACTGGGAAACATGTGGCCTGAACATTCCTCCCACTTTTCGCATCTGCCCACGTGCTTCAGACAGGGACTTGGTAAACTGGCTTTTAGCCCTAACCTCCTCTGCCAGATTTTTCGGCCCCTTTTCAGAAGATCTAAACTCCTCCAAGATGTGAAGTTAGGTCTGACTCCTGCTCAGGATGCACACTGTCAAACCACAGAATGCTGATCAGTTTCCTTCCTGAGGCTCCATAACCCTTTACCTCTTTGGCATGATACATATACATGAGATCACCATGAGACAGTTCATTTAGGAACTGAGCTCTTTCAAATGCATTCTGATATTAATTTAATCACCAAAGAAGTTATATAACTTGGAAATTCTAGTGTTTTTATTCAAGCAATTCTTGCAAAATACTTTTTGCAAACTTAGAATGACCTCTTGATGATTCTTCTTCTAAGTTTTAGATATTCGTGTATCTTTTCTCTCTTCTCACTTCCTCTCCCCTCCCCTTTGTCTCATCTTTTCCTCTCCTCCCTTTATCAATTTTTTCTTGTAACAGACATATTCATCATCCAAGCTTATTGCTCTGAAATTTGAATCTCAAATTTGAGTATAGATCCCTCTCCTAAGAAGTAAGGAGGGAGCAGGCAAAACAGTGCTGAGTATTGGGCCTGCTAAGGACCTGCCCAGTGGCAGCAACTGAAACTAGTTATCCTCAAGCTTCAGAAGAAATGCCAGCCATGACCTTAGTTCAGGCCCTTATCACTTCCAACTGGTCCCTGTTCCTGTATCTCCTCCCCAACTTCTCCCCATATTCCAACCCAAATGATCCTCCTTAGCAGCAGTTCTGCCTGCCTCGTGCCTCTGCCTGGATCCTCCAGAGTTCCCTGTTGTCAATGAGATGATGCCCATGATCCTTAAAATAGCATGTGAGGCTCCTAGTGATCTGGATCCTGCCTCCTACTTTGACCTGATTTCTCAGCATTCATGTACCTCCCCATCCCTTAACACACACACACACACACACACACACACACACACACACACACACACACACACCACTCCTAATCTAGCCACACCAATTCCATGTCTCCCCTAATGCACTATGTTTTCTTATGCCACCATAAAAGGTTTTCTCAACCCAGGACCCATTTTTCCTGTCCAATGATATAAAATTTAAAGAGTTTCAAGGCTAATCTTTTATCCTTAAAGACTACATGTGGCACTCCGTCTCATACCTTCCATCATGGCTGATCTTTGTGGCCAAATATATTTATAATTATTCTGACGGTGAATTGGGTTTCTGTACAGTGTGGTTTCATGATGTCAGATGCCAGCAGGAAACTGAACGCTTAAATCAGTGATCCACATGTTTAAAACTATTTGAATGCTTGGCCTTGTGCAGCTCTGGTCTAAAAAGAAATGAGTAATTCATGAGTCCTTGGCTTCCACTCCCTGAAATCTTTCAAATATGTCCTTGCTTTCCCTGGCCCTCCTGCAGTGACCACGTGGCATCACCCACATCCCAAAGCTCTTTATAAAATGCTTTTTATGTGCAAAAAGCAGCACAAATTCAGACTGCCTGAGCTGAGGGCAAGTGTGTGGTGTGCCCTGTTGCATAATATGCTGTTTCCCTGGGACACCTGAGCTGTTCGAATCCTAACAGGTGAGGAGGATTGTGATGTAAGAAGAGCACAAGACTGCAGGCCACCAGCAACCTGCCTTTCAATTTCCCCACTGCCTCTGCCTCTGTTATGTAACCTTAAACAAGTGATTTTTTTTCCCTCTCTGTGTCTCAGTTACCTCATGTAAAACTAGTGAGCTAGACAAGGTCAGCATTTCTCCAACTGGGACCATAGACTGCCTACATTGGAATCACCAGGACTGCTGTTCAGCAATGTGACCACCTGGGCCTCTCTCCTGTCCTACTGAACCATACTGTATAGCAGGAAAGTAAGGAGGAAGTTCAGAGAGTAGGAGAGATCCAGAGTCAATATTGTTAATAACTTTTCAGGTAAGTCTTAGACTTACCAAGATTTGGGATCCACTGGAAAAGATGATCTCTTAAGCACTGGCTACCAGGTGCCACATGGTGAGAGGCATGAGGGACCTCTCTGGGTTCTTTTGTAAGAGCAAATCCCCTACATGGAGCTCTGCCCTCAAGACCTGCTCACTTCTCAAAGACCCCACCTCTAAATGCCACACTGGAGATAGATTTGAATTCGGAAGGACATAACATTCAGTCTATAGCAACTTTCCAAATCCTGAATATCTATTTGGTTCTTCTTTTATAATTTCAAACCCTTTAGTTAGAGTCTTATATTTGGCAAGCCATAATTCAATACTATTTTTTCATCCTGTAGACATGGTTCCCTTTAGATCTTGGAATACATATTTGTGGTAACTAATTTGTAATCTGTATAATAAGTATAACATCTGGGCTTCATTAGAGGCAGTTTCTATCAGTGGCTTTCTTTCCCTGTGTATGAGCCATACTTTTATATTTCTTTGCATGTATTTTTCAAAAGATGAATATTTTAAGTAATATAATGTGTCAACTCTGGAAATCAGATGCCACTCTTTTCTCAGTGTTTGCTTTTTGATGTCCTTTGTTGTTTTTTTCATTGTTGTTGTATTTTAAAATGATGTTCCTGAACTAATTCTGTCCAGTCTATACTCTCTGTCCTACATAAGATGAGAGTCCATGCTTGGCTAGTTTAGAAGGCATCCAGTAATGAACAGAGATGCTGTTAAACACTTTGAACCAATGAGCCTCCTAACTTTGCTGTGTGTGTTGGGCACACCTTCAACACCCCAGCACGCCATTTCCAACTCTTCCTTTGCCTTCACTACCTGCTTCTGCAGAGACTTAGGGTCAACCCAAGGTGAGAGCTTAGGGCCTCCTAAGCCTTTCTTGAACATATACACAGCTCTGCACATGCAGGTGCACTTGTAGAAACATGGCAGAGCTTTTCAAAGCTCCCTATAGACATTGAATTCCATTTTTCCTTTGTGTTTTGTGGTCAGCCTCCCATTAGCCCCAGCTGGTATTGATGCTAATACAATGTTAATTTATAATTATAATACAATGTTAATAAATTATTAATAATTTATAATTATTAATACAATGATAAGTGCTCTGTGGGTAAAGTGTTTGCACAAAGCAAACTGTGGGACAAATCAGACAAGGATAAGATCTGAGAATAAAGATTTTCGGTGAGATGCCCAACGGTCAAATAGTGGTAGTTCTCTGGGGATGGGGCTTTTGGGGAACTCTGAACTTGCTCTGCACCATGAAGTGGCTTCTAGGTTGCCATTTTCATTGCTATCACAATTTTAAAGCTGTTGATTTATAAGGCCTCCTGAAGCTGTGGGTGTGGGATGGGAATCCATTTGAAATATCACAAATCTTGTTCTTACTGAGAGAGATTCAGCCATTTTTCTTAAATAAACCCTCTTCGAGTTGTTGCAAGCTTTTAATTAATTTGCAGAGTTCTGAAAATGTTGATTTTAACAGTTCTAGCTGCTGGGTGTGTGGGAGACTCCCCCTTCTCGGGAGAACATCACTGAATCCCTTACCCTCCTGCTCCTCTCCAAAGAGCACCGAGCCAAAGAAGAGAGCCAAATTCAAAGGTTTTCTCCATCAATCCCCACAGGACACAGTGTCTACTTGCTGTTCCTGAGTTTACCCTGCCAATCAGCACCCGCCACATCCCCTTCGAAACCCTTCTTAAGCCGATAAGCACACGCTCTCTTCTCTCTGTCCTCTGCCCTCTTCCTCTTCTTCCTCTCCTCTATCCTTTCTCTTTCTCTCTGCCTCTCCTTTTCTTCCCCTTTAGGCAGCCCCCCAATAAAACCTCTTGGTTGAATCTCCATCTCTGGTGAGTTACTCGCCTTTCATTGGTGCAGAGACTCAGATGGGGCTCCCCTGCCTTTAAGCAGGACCCCTATTCCTCCAGAGATCACCACCTGAGCGGAGACCAACCTGCGCCCATCTTCTCGATCCCCTGCTTCGCATCCACCATCAGTCTACGAATTGGTGAGTCCCCCTCTTTGGACTCCTAAACCCGCCGAGGCCGTTGATCATCCAGCAGCCCCAGTGGTATCTTGCAGGGAGGAATACACCCCACACAGACCTTCAGGGTCGCCGTGGTCCTCTTGGAGTCTCCCCCTTTCAACAGGCCTCAGCCTGCTTGAGAACTGGCAGACCGCCTTCCCTCCTCCATCATGGGTCTCCTCTTTACCCCTCTCGGATGAAAACCCTGGTGCCAAGTGACCCATAGCTCCCAGGGCCCTCCAGGAGGGCACCTCACCAGAGGATTTTCGGTGACAACCATATCCTCGGCCTGAGGTCTCGTTCTGATATTTGGCTCAAGTGGGACGCCTCACCAGTCACCCTATCGTACCCTTCCTCATAGCCCCATGGGGGGGTGACTCCTCTCTGCCGGCTGACTCCCCTCTCCAATGCCGCCGACAACTTGGACATACTTGGCCTAACCCCGTAGAGATCAATCCCAAGAAATTGATAAAATTCTCTACTCAGGATTGGCCCAATTATCCCTTAGCTATCCAAAACCATTGGCCCCCTTTGGGTCCTTAGACCCCGCCATTTTGTGGGATCTCTACAATTCAGCGCACAGTCTGTCTGGCCACACCCTACTTCAATTAGGCTCCTTTGAAAGGTTGCTGGGGCAGAAGGGATCCTTAGGGTCCACGGTGCTCTTCTCCGTAGCAGACCTTTCACAAAATGCTTGGGTTCCTACCAGAGTTCCACCAACTCTGCCTCATACATAAAGGAGTTTCGGTACTTACTCCAAGCCTATAGTCTCACTTTTCATGACATTTACATGATCCTGGCCAATACCCTTCTCCTAGAGGAAAGCAGGCGGATCTGGGAACAAACCCTTAATTATGCTGATGAGGTCCATCAAACCACCCGGCCAACCCGCTAGGCGCCCATGCAGTTCCTGATCAGAACCATAATTGGGACTACAATACCACCCAGGATTAGCCCTGGGGGACCAATTTTCCCCCTGCCTAGTTGCCTGGCTCAGAAGGCGGTAAAATTTGAAAAACTCCAAGAAATCATTCAGGACAAAAAACAAGAACCCTTCCACCTTCCTAGATAGTCTAAGGATCTCCAGCAATACACTAATTTAGACCCTGAAACCCTCGATGGGAGACAGCTCCTAATGACCTATTTCTTCTCCCAGAGCTACCCTGACATTCGGGTGAAACTTAAAAAAAATGGAACAGGGACCCTTGACCCCTCAGACTGAAGTCCTGGCACAGCCTTTAAGGTGTACCACAACCTGGATGAGAAAGACAGAAGGCAAAAAACCCAGACGCTGGCACAGGCTCTACAGGTCCTACCCCTGGGCCCTGTTTTAAGAGGAACACTGGGCACGAGAGTGCCTGAATCCCAGGCCACCTATGCGTCCATGCCCTAAATGCCAATTAAGGGGTCACTGGGCCATGGACTGCCCCGTTCCCTGAAGGGGAGCTGGATCTGCCCCAAGCCCAGACCTAGATCTTTTGGGTATGGCCATAGACGACTGAAGGGGCCTTGGGACTCCCTCCCCGATGACCACCATCACCTTTCAGGAGCCCAGGGTCACTGTTATGGTGGATTGACGCCTGACTAACTCCCTTTTAGACACAGGGGCCACTTATTCAGTCTTGAGGGAGTTTGGGGGACCCACTGTTCCATCCTGTTCTCCCATTGTCAGGGTAGAGGGACAAACAATCCTTCCCCTAAAAGCCCCACACTCTCTTGTAGGTTTTACCACCATCCTTTCTCCCACCAGGTTTTGGTAATGCCCCAATGCCCCATTCCCCTATTGGGAAGGGACATCTTAGCCAAATTCCATGCCTCCATCACACTCCATCCCAGCCTTTCTTTACACTCACCCTTGCAGAAGCAACCCACACATCCATAGGCTCCCCTCCTTCTCTCCCTCTGGAGGTAAATCCTCAAGTTTGGGACACTTCCACCCCCTCTCTGGCTCACTGTGTCCCTGTCAGAGTTCATCTTAAGGACCCTCAGCATTTCCCTTGTCAACCTCAATACTCTCTTCCAACTAGCAGTCCTCAGGGTCTACAGCCCATTATTAAGGACCTATGGCGCAAGGGCTTAATAAGACCCACCCACGCCCCTTACAACACTCCAATTTTGGTCGTACAGAACAGTACCAAATACCCCTCTCAAGCCAGGCTCCTTTCCCGCCCACCACGCTCGAGGACAATTCCCAGGAGCCAACTGGCAATTGGATTTCACACACATGCCCAGGGTCTAGAGGTATCTCTATCTCCTCGTCCTTGTAGACACTTTCTCAGGATGGGTGGAAGCTTTTCCAACCACCAACCAAAGGGCATCCACAGTCACCTGTTTTGCTCTCAGATATCATCCCAATATTTGGGGTCCCTCCCTCCTTGCAATCAGATAATGGCCCCAAGTTTACCTCTCAAATCACACAATGCATTGCGGAGGCTCTCCACATTCCCTGGAATCTACACATCCCTATCATCCCACCTCTTCAGGCAAGGTAGAATGTGTTAACCGCACCTTAAAGGAGACCCTCACCAAGCTCTCCCTGGAACTACATCTCACCTGGGTCAAACTTCTCCCGGTAGCACTGTTTGGCCTTTGAGCACTTCCCAAAAGGCCAACTCAAATGTCCCCTTTGAAGTGATGTATGGACAACCACCCCTACCACCTGGGATGACTCCTTCACTCTGCGTCCTTCCAGAACATCTCAGTCATCCCCTTCTAAGTTTTGTCTGAACACAGATTTGGAAACACCAGGAAACTGTAAAGATGCCTTCTTTACAGTGCCATTCCATCCTGACTCTTGTTACCTCTTTGCCTTCACATGGGAAGACCCTACATCCTTTAGGTCTCAACAGCTGACATGGACAGTCCTACTCCAAGGCTTCAGAGACAAGCCTTGACACAGGATCTAACTGCTTATGACTTGGGGGATTAGTACTCTCTTACAGTTGGATAGAAGCCTTCCCTACTCAAGGGAAACTGCTGACACCGTCACCTCCATCCTCATTGAGCAGATCATTCCCAAGTTTGGACTTCCTATCTCCATCCAGTCTGACAACGATCCGGCCTTCATTTCTCAGGTTGTTCAACTAGTCTCCAAAGGCTTCAACATCACTTGGAGGCTCCACATCCCCCACCGACCCTAATCCTCAGGTAAGGTTAAGAGGCCTAATGGCATTCTCAAGGATCATCTCACTACTCTTGCCATTGAACTCAGGCTGTCCTGGCTGCCCCTAGAGCCCCCTCAGGCCGTAGCCCCTTTGTGCTACTCTATGGGCGCCCTTTCTTAATCAACCAAAGCTTCCCAGTTACTCTTCCTCCCCTTGTGTCCTACCTGCCCTACCTCACACTTCTACACAAACTCCTAAGGGAACATGCAGACCGATGTCTTCCTGTGCCATCTGTTACCTCTGTCCCAATGCATCCAGGAACTGACCCAGTCTTACTTAAGTTTTCTCGCCAACCCTCTCCTTCTTTTACTAATCATTAATCTCTCTCAAGCTTCTATCCCAACCCACAGATAGGGCTTCTACATCCAAGCCATATGGCAGCAGATGGCACCACCCGCTCACAGTTTATGGGTCAAAGCAATTGCCCTTCCACTGGCTGCAATTGGGCAGTCATCCTTAACATTACTGGATTCAACCAGTCCACTTTGTCCCACTTATGTTCAGTAATGCTGTGCTTCATAGCAGACCAAACTGAGGAATCCTGTAAGCACTCGCCTGACATTTATGGCAGGTGCCCTTATAATTCATGCAAGAAAGACATCCTAGATGAACCTTGCTATGGGAATCAAGCATACACCAAATTAACTATGGGACCTGAAATGGGCTTCTGGTGTTGATGCTTCTCCTCAGGGATCTCCAGCTACTTGCTACCTCGGAGGACACCTATCCCTTACATGAAGGCCTCACTAACGGCTGAGGGAACTTCATCACTGTGGATACGGAGCTACAAAACGGAAACACAACTGGGGAACTTCACTAGCCTGTCACCCAGGGTTTCTAGGCCCATTGGCTTTTGTGTGCCTCTTCCCGACCGCTGGTCTCTTCTCAGCCAGTCCCTCTCACTGGACTTCTGGCCAGAAGCTAATGTGGTGTCTCCTCTTCCCTCTTCTTCTCCTTGCCTTCAGGTATCTTTGGTGTTTTAGGCTCATCATGTGGCACAGCTGGTTAGTGGAGTTCATGGAGTCCCTCCAACAGGACAGCTGGCTGATTCCCCTCATTTGCAAGGACAAGGATTGGATCTAGACTATCCATGACCTATGGCTTTGAGGAACTTTCATCGATTTCATTCCCAAGGAAACTCACATTTTCATCACCCTGGCCTTTACAGCTATGCTTCTCTTGTCCCCGCAACCTGACCATTCCTCCCTTCCTTCACACTCCTCGTCCCTCTCCAGCAGGAAGTAGCCAGACAATCTCATCACTCCGCTCCCAACACAAAAAAAGGGAGTAATGTTGGGTATGTGGGAGACTCCCCCTTCTCACGAGAACACCACTGAATCCCTTACCCCTCCCCCCCTCTCCAAAGAGCACCAATCCAAAGAAGAGCACCAAATTCAAAAATTTTCTCGACCAATCCCCGCAGGACACAGTGTCCATTCGATGTTCCGGAGTTTACCCTGCCAATCAGCACTCGCCACATCCCCTACACAACCCTTCTTAAGCCAAAGCTTGTAAGCACACACTCTCTTCTCTCTCTCTCTCCTCTGCCCTCTTCCTCTTCTTTGTCTCCTCTCTCTACCCTTTCTCTTTCTCTTTGCTCTCTTCCTCTGTCTCTTTCTCTCTGCCTCTCCTTTTCTTCCCCTTTGGGCAGCTCCCCCAATAAAATCTCTTGGTTGAATCTCCATCTCGGGTGAGTCACTTGCCTTTCACTAGCTGCTTATATGGAGGAGCTGCCTTTTGAAAGTAAAAAAGAGAAAATGTAATTTTTCCTTAACCCTCATCAATTCAATGTTGAGACAGAATCCTCTGCAATAACAGATAAGTAAACAAAAGAAAAGCAAGTGTGTGGTGTTAGGAGTCTGCGTTAAATATATTTCAACAAGGAACAATACATTTTAGAAAAATGACAAGACAAAGGAAAAGCAGCCCCAGGCTTCCCGGGTGGGAAAAGTGTGGGAAGGTAAACTTGTGAGAAGAAGTTCTGCTCGAAGGTTCCTCTGGCCCCAGGTCTCTGACATGATGAGCAAGCAACATGAAGGATTCACATCCAGTCTTTAGGTGGGGAAAGGAAGGAGGAAGGTAGAAAGACCTTTTGCCTCTGAGAATTTCTGTCCCATTTTTAGACAAATAGCAAGAAGGCAAAGCTTTCCTTTGAGTTTTGATTGTCTTCAGCTCAACATATTCTGGGGAGAAATTTGATTTCCTTCAGATGTCTTCATTTCACTATTCTAGAACCTTCCCACCCTCCTCCCTTCTCCTTACTTATTTTCTTTTCTTTTCTTTTTTTTTTTTAATTTACCTCTTGGCCTTCTCTGAAGTCCATCTCACCTTGTGTATGCTTAAGCCCAGAATTTCAGAGGTCCTGGGCAGTCCTCAGTAGTGAGTGACTGGTGCTAATCCTCCAGGTGGATGTTTCTGAAAAGTCATCTGGTATCTTCTCTGAGGTCTTAGGAAAGTCTAGCTATCTTTGCTTAATGTGAAAACCTTATAGTGCACCTTTGGTTAGCCTGTCTTCCTGCCCTGCCTCACTCTTCCCACTCCTGCCTCATAAGGTCACCTCCCACAAAACCCACTGACTCTCAAGTCCTTGCTCAGGTGCTACTTTAGGACCCAAACTGAGACTGCTGCAGTTCTAGCGATCTGTGTTTAGCTGTGGCACTCACAACTTACGGTGGTGCTCTGCTCTACCATGTTTGCTGGATTTTAATCAACTCTGGATATATTAAATAAGAGTATGTGGCATTCGTGTGTATCCTAGCATAAAAGGGAAATAGGCTTTACAAAGGGGTGTTCTTACACACCATCATCTCTAGGACAGAAAAAGGACGACCAGTACAAGGAGTTGGGAGGAAAAAAAAACAAAAACAAAAAACAGGTTCTCTCCATTTCACAATCCCTCTGCTCCTTAACCTAGATTTTGAATCAGAAGAGCAGTCTCCCTTGCACTGAGTTCCTCCTGTGACCAGCGAGGATGCAGCAAGTTCTTTCTCTGCTGAGCCCTCAGGTAATCATCATAGGGCCATAATAATGATTCGGAGGTCACCAGCCACAGAAGCAGTGGTCACCATGATGCTCTGCTGACCTCACAAGGCATTTTGCAGTCCCTTGTCTCACAGAGCCTTCACCACAACCATGGAAAACCTAGATGACTCCAGCTAACCAGCTACCCCCATGGGGGCATGCGTCTGATACCTTCGTCAGATGCTAAAAGGCCACTGTGTTTGTCTAAGTTGAATTTTGATTTACATAAAGTACATGAAAGAATTCCAAATGTTCTTTTTAACTGTGAAATCTCACTCTCAGTATCCTTCCATCTAGAGATTCTTGTTGCTACTCCAAGTGGCCAAGAGATGCACTAGCCATGGGGACACATGGTTACTGTTACCAGAGGCCCACAGAAAAATAGGAGTTTCTGCCAAGAAGCCTAGCAACAGACCCTGGAAAAATCTGAGGGGTCCATGTCATCCCCTCATATGCAGGTAAGGGGTGACTCACCTGCCAGGAAGGAGCCTTTTAGTTATTGCTAGACAGAGGTGTGACCTGTCTCACTGGTAGAACTAGAGAAAACACAGGTCAAATCCCTGCATTCAGGGACCAAAATCCATCTCCCAACTAAGAACTTAGAAGAAATTACTTTTAAAATAGTAAAGAAGTACTGGATCTACTTTGTGGGGCTAAGATGCAATTTTCTATGCATTTTTAATAACTAGTATCCATTGATGCTGAGATGTCAATTCCTTCTCACTAATAATGGTGAAGCCCTTTACCAAGGGTGGCTAGCATAGGCTGGACACCTAATAAGAACCACAGGTTCTAGTTTGTCAGAAATACCATGTGTCTGGAACTTCACATTGATTATCCCTTAACCTTCAGATGTATTCTGTAAGGTAAGTATTACCCCTGGCAGTCCCCATTTTCCATGTAAGGAAATTGCCCTTCTGAGAGGCCAATTTGCCTGACTTAGCACGTAATATTCAATAAATGAGTATTTGTATGAATGAACTAATGAAAATGAAAGAATGGATGAAATTAATTAATTAGATGAAATGGTAAGTTGGATTGTTCTAGACCTGGTCTTGTAGTTAATGCTTATTACCTCATGCCAGGCTGCTGTTTTCCTGATGATGAATCCAAAATACAAATTTCAGAGAACTCTCATATTTTCCCATATGAAATGCCTTATGGTTTTGCTCTTTTACAGATATCTTTGGCCCAAATAAAGATACTGTGTATTTCTGCCCTTAATATTCTACCACTTAGAACTGCTTTTAAACTTGAAAAACACTTGAATTTGAAAAGAAAATGGATTTTTGTTTTCATCATAAAAATAATAAAAAATCATTACAGAAAGATTGATCAAACAGCAAATAATATAAATATCAATTTATAAATATACATAATATCCCTTTGGAAGAATAACCATTTGTTAGTATTGTGGTGCACTGTAAGAACTTCTTAGCTTCTTTCTATACATAGGTCTTTGCCGGGATTGGGGAGGGGGGAATATGTTTTTTCCCCAGTATTCTTCCTCTTACTCATTTTTTCTTAAAAAAAATTTGGCTCTCCTATAACCTTCTTAAACATCATCTTTAACTATTGCACAAACAAGATACTTATTGCATGAGTATCTCCAATCACTTGGGAAAGAATCCATGTCCAATAACTAGAAATTAGTTAAATATATCTACCTGAAAACATCTGGTGCAAGGTATTTTCAAAACTTAAATTTATTTCTTTAGGAGGGGCAGATATGTATGTAAAATTCTTCACCCTAAAATTTATAAGCTCTTTCCTCTATTGCCTTCTGACCATAAAAATCATCTTGTTTAAAAAGAAAAATTATCTTGTTTGGTAAAAGCCATCCATTTGTCTCCCAAGCACTTGCTATTTAACTCTTCAATGTTCACAACTGCCTCAGCACGCTGCCATGTGAGAAAAGACGGCACATCCTGCCAAAATCTCCAATGCCAAGGGCTTCTAAAGAAATGACAGTTTTCCTGTGTTTATTGCAACAAGTTAAACAACACAGTTCAAAAAAACATAAAGGCAAAGCTAAATATATCCCTCTCTTCCACTTCCACCCCCTGAGGTGACCAATGGGAACAAGGCAGCATGCACCCTTCCACCTTTTTCCTCCTTACTGGCTCATGACTTCAGCATAAGCATTCATAAGTTGGAGATTATTGATTTTTCAGTTGTAGATGGACACAATATCTTTATTTTACTTACCTTTATGTGGTGCTGAGGCTCCAACCCAGCGCCTCATGCATGCTAAGCAAGCACTCTACCACTGAGCCACACTCCCAGCCCAATATTGAAGATTCGTATAGAAATGTTTCTAGATGAAATTACATGGGTTTGGGAATTTGCTTTATTTATTTATTTATTTATTTATTAACTTAATTTAACGAACTTGAAGTACAGAACTTATATATAAATATGCACATCATTTTACCTATAGAGGATTATATTTCATGTGTTAGAATATTTTTATTTAATTAAAGGAAAGGGCTTATTTGGACTCAGAGTTTCAGGGGTTTCAGTTCAATTGTTTTCATTCTTTCTACTGGCTATACGATATTCCACAGTATGAATGGACTCTGAACTGTTTATCCATTTCCTTATTGCTAGACATCTAGTTTGTTTCTAGTTTTTTTTTTGTCACCACAGAAATGCCACAGTGCCCATCTTGTACTCCTATTCTTACCTTCTGTTGCTTTCATCTCTATGACATTGTTTCTCCAGAATGGGATTGCTGGGCCAAAGGGCATATGAATTTTTGGTTTTAAAAGATGTAAGGAAAGTGCTTCCTTCAAAAATTGTAAAACTTTACCACTTCAATGTATAAGAATTTCCTTTTGCCTGTATCTCCATCAACAGAAGGCGTTTTCATACCAATCAAACCAACTCTTGTTAATAGTTCAAAAGAGAGATCTTCATTCCCACTTCGACTTGTACTTTGTTTAAATATCTCTCGTGTTCTATTGACTATTTAGAGTTACTCTTTTAAGAAATATTTATTCATTTCGTATGCTTATTTTTTTCTATTAGTTGTATATAGAAAAATAATCATATTCCAACTATTTACTTCTTTTCCTGCTGTTATTGTTTTTTTTTGTTGGTTGGTTGGTTGTTGGTTTAGGGGTTTGGTTTTTGGTTTGGTTATGGGGGCACTTTACCACTGAGCTCTATCTCCAGTCTTTTTTTAAAACAGGGTCTCACTAAGTTACTGAGGCTGGCCTCTAACTTGTGATCCTCCTATCTTAGCTTCCCAAATCACTGGGATTACAGGTGTGTGCCACTGCACCCATCTATTTTTTCAACTCTATCATTTGCCCTCTGAGTTTGTTTAGTGTATCTTTTGCCTTGCACAGAAGATCTAAAAACTTTTTAAATTTTAATATTTCTGACTTTTCTAGCTCTTCTCTTGCCTCTTAAGTTCAGAAGTTCTTCCCTATCTTCCAAGTCATATTAGATAAATCTCCCAGATTTTTTCTAATACTTTTACTGATTTTTAATTTTCTTACATTTATATCTTTAATTCATCTGCAATTTATTTTAGAATACTGTGTGAGATAGAGACCTAACCTTATTTTCTCCAAGAGAAATAATTAGTGGTTTCACTTGGCCCCTTTTATCAAATGAGTTGTCCTTTTCTACTGAATTGAAATATCATTTTTGTGATACATGCTATATTCTGTTTCACTACTTGTCTATTCCTATGCCAAAACCACATTGATCTGTTTTCTGAAATTATAGTATGTTCTAATATCTGGAAACAAGACCATAACATAGTGGTTAAGCATACTGGCTTTGGAGTCAGATTATCTGAGTTAAAATCCCAGCTCTAACATGTTGTAGCTGCATAGTAACATTTCTAAGCTTCAATTTTATAATCTGTGAAATAGAAAAATAAAAACCACTTCATATGATTTTATGGAGATTAACTAAGTTAATGTATATAAAATGCTTAGAACACTGCACAATTAATCATAGTTACTAGGGCTGGGTTGAGTTCTCAGTGCTGGAAGTTACTGTTTTTCATGCTTTCTTCAACTACTCTTGAAAATTCATTCTTCCATATGAACTTTAAGAAGTTTCATACAATTCAAAAAAATCTTATGAAATTGCATCATACACACACACATATTAGTTTGGGGCTAATGGGTTTTATACTAAAAAATATGACTTCTTTCCATTTATTCAGATCTTATTTTATGGAAGTTAATAAGATTTTGTTGTTGTTTCCTGAGATTCTTTGCCTCTGTTGTTATATTTACTCTTAAGTATTTTATAATTTTCTTATTTGTAGGTGAAATCTTTCTTCTCAATTCCATTTTCAAGTACTTATTGAAACATATAGGAAAGGTTTATTTCTTCTTTACCAATTGTTTATTTTTAGTTTTTCTGTTTTATTCCACATGCTAGTACTGTAAAGATAATGTTAAGTAAAAATGATGGTAGCTGGCATCCCTGTATGTTGTCTTCTTTCAATCAAAAATGCTGGCCAACTGCAACTTGTAATTATATTTACTATTAATTTTTAGAAAGCAGACTCTCATATTTAAATAAGCTCATTTCATTTCTATTGTGTTTATGGTTTTATTAGGACTAACTATCCAATGTGTCATCTAATGTATTTCCAGTTTCTACTGATATGGTCAGACTTTTTTTCCCCCAAATTAATTAATTAAATAAATGGTGTTGGTAGAATCTTTTTAAATTTTTTTTTGTAATTGTAGATGGACAGCATGCCTTTATTTTATTTGTTTCATTTTTATGTGGTGCTAAGGATCGAACCCAATGCCTCCCTCACATGTGCTTGGCAAGTGCTCTGCCACCGAGCTACAGCCCAGCTCCTGTTGGTAGAATCTTGTTTGTAAGTCATTCTTGCAAATATAGAATAAATTCTATATGGGTATAATGTATTATTGTTATGATACATTACTGGGTTCTAAATGCTATTTTATTAGATCATTCCATCTGTATTCATTAGTGAGCTTTTTGTTTTATACTATATCAAGTTTCAGCATTAATATTATACTCACATGGTTAGAATCATTCCAACATTTTCCATGGTCTGGAATAGTTACATAATGTTAAAAGTCTGCTATTTAAAGGCTAACTAGAATTCAGCTATAAAAAAAAAAAACTAGGTCTTAAAGCCTTTTCTTTAATAGTAGGTCTGTAATCACCAACCCTGTATCTTCCATGGCAGCATTTCCTAACTTTACTGATGGATAGCAATCACTCAAGTGCGTACCACACCCCCATCTTTTTTTTTTTTTAAACAGTTCTGGGATGGAACCCAGGGCCTGTGCATTCTAGGCAAGTGCTCTACCACTAAGCCACACCTCCAGTCCTTGACAAATATAGAATTATTAAGCCCCTTCTCTGAAGATTCTGATTCACAGGCTCTGGGATAGGGTCAGCTGTAGAAATTTATAGATTTAAATATAAATGATTCTTATCACAACTCTGTGATAATTAGTCTAGTTAGGTTTCCCAGTTAATGTTGAGCTAATTTGGGTAGTTCTATTTTGCAAGAAAATTATTCATTTCTTCTAAGTTTTATAATTTGTTGCTATTGAGTCATGTATAGCATTATCCTATAATTCTTCTAATTTCTGACATTTCTGTAGTTATGTTCCCTTTCTCATTTGAAATATCAGATAATTTTGCTTTCTCTCTTTTTCCTTTAATTAAATCCTCAAGAGACTTATCTGTTTATCAACTTTTACAAAGAACCAATTTTCAGATTTACTTAGACTTTGTATCATTTTAAAATTCCTATTTCACTTCAGTGACTTTCTGTATAAGTTTCCTCTTAGGTTATAGGCACTCAGTATCGTGTGCTATACACTGTGATTTAACACTATACAGTTAAATGGATATACTTATCCATGTTGATTTAACCATATATTTCAAGATTCCTTTTGTATCAGTGTTTTCTCCTCTAAATATCTTCCCTTATCTAGAGGTCTTTGGATTTTTTTTTTCTTGGTTGATTGCTTTAAATCTTTCCTAAAGTAAATTTCTAGGTTGTTTGTTGCTGTTGTTTGTGTTTTTGTTTGGGGGGTGGGTGGTAATGGGGATTTAACCCAGGGATGCTTTACCACTGAGCCACATCCCTAGTCCTTTTTATGTTTTATTTAGACACAGGGTCTCCCTAAGTTGCTAAGAGCCTCACCAAATTGCTGAGTCTGACTTTGAACTCCTCCTGCCTCGGCCTTCAAAGTCACTGGGATTACAAGCATGTGCCCCCACACCCAGAAAATTCCTAAGATTTTTTTAAGGTCTGTTCTGATTATTTTATTTACAATTCCTCTCTAAGCCTGTTGTCCTGAGGTGTAGTGTGCTTATCCTCTGTAGGTTCTCTCTAAGTTCTTGAAGATACTTTAGCAATGGCAGCCAGAGAGTGGAGGAAACCCAACAGTCTCTGATCCTCGGCCCACCGCACTGGAGAAAAGGTTCCCAATGCCCTTCTGGGCAGTTGAGAGGATATCACTTTTTCCTGGGAACCAGTGGAGGGGACCACCCAACATTGCTCATCAGCTTCCTAGGGACCAAAAAGCGCAGGTACATTCATGCTAACTGATGTCAGCCTTCTCACTGAGTGCTCAGGGATATCCATGGACTAACCCCTCCCAGGTTTCAAATCTTCCCCCAGACTTTATCTGGTTTCTCTCTGACTTTAGGGTGTGAGTGGGAAGGGAAGCTCAGCGACAGGTCTCTGGGTCATGCCCTTCAGACCCCATCTGCTTCCCAGCCCCAGCTACTAGTTATCCCAGAGAGGTTTCAGGCTGGAGTTACTAGCAAAGAAAGGTGAAGCTTGTTGAACCATCAGCTTCCCAGCATTCCTTGTTCCATGTTTTACATATACCTTAATTATGTAAACACTGCAAAGATTTAAAATTGTCATTCACTGATACAATGTGTCCCTTCCTCACACAGCTCCCTTGCTTTACCCAATTCTCCCCAACCCAATTCCACCTCCCTAAAGAGCTTCTGCTTGGTTGATGCAACAATAAATCCAGTTCCAAAGGACCTGGTCCAGAAAACACTATAAACATTTGTGTGTTCCAACACCCTTTCTCTGCAATCTTCAAGTGGAAGGTAAAAGAATCCAATAATTTGCCTCAGCTCTCATAAAGGATGTAGGTTTAGCCAATCAGAGGCTTTCATCCTGGGCTTGGGCTCTGGTGGTGGTGACATAAAGATCTAGGGATGGCTGATAATTTGTTCTTGTTGACAGCACCAGTATCATGAATCTAGTGATGACAGTAAAAGGTGTTGAAACCCCAGCCATGTCTATTACAGCCAAACCTCCTTGGTTCCTGTTTTCCAAACCTGATTCTGTGAGTTGCCTAGCACTTTCTTTTATTTGTGCATCTGGGGTTGATTTCTAATTTCCGATGTTTACAATCCAAAGCCCTGAGGGGTTCAGAATACCAGAAAAGTTCTGAGTCTGGGAATGGCTTCGAGTGCTGTGCCTCAAACCAAATCAGCTTGATTTTGCAAAATCCTTGATGGTATGCTAGGCTACTGAATATGGCTTCAGCCAGTTCCATACAATACCAAGTTTTTATCACCATCCCTTTAAACGCCAATGTCCCAGTCACTGGGATCCCTGAAATGGCCAACATTATTATTTTATAATAATAATAATAATAATAATATTATTATTATTATTATTATTATTATTTGCAGCACTGAGGATCCAACACAGGGCCTCACACATGCTAGGTGTCTACCCCTGAGTTACAGCCTGACCCACCAACATTCTTAATGAAAAGCCATCAGATTGGGTCATATAAGTAAGGAAATATAATATTGAAGATTTTTTTGTTCATATTTTTATTTTGAGATAAAAATCTCTTGATTTTGCAACAACAACCTCTGGGACATTATTGGCTTTAGTACAAGAAAATACACAATATTAAGATGATAAAAAATCAGGCTGAAACTGGGTAAAACAATCTGGTAGATATTATTAGTGGTTATCATAATGGGAATATTTTTATTTTATTTTCTTCAGATTCAACCACTTTTTTTAAGGCTATAATTCATTTAGTCCCAACTCTCTTCTTTTTCTTCCTCTCTGCACCTAAGCTAAGAAAACAGTAAAAACCCAGGAGATATTTCAGCACCAAAAGCATTGGAGAGTGAGAATAGTTTATTTATAAATTTCTTATATGAAATTTCTCATCCTACATCACCACCCCAATACAAACCCACAGAGGTAGTGTTCCTAAAGATAGTTGATTTGATTAGTGCATATACCATGCATTGCATTTCTAAATTAATTATATTCTTCTAATAGACATGGGTTATAGAACACCCAATTTCCCTCTGGTTTCAGCCTTTAACCTCCATGACTTTTGCTATTTATTTAAATAAACAAATAATCAGGATAATGACCCACATTTATCTTTGTCAACCCCATGAGATTGCATGCTTTTTAAAAAATTTTTTGTAGTTGTAAATAGACAGCATGCCTTTATTTTACGTGCTTATTTTTATGTGGTGCTGAGGATCAAACCCAGTGCCTCACATATGCAAGGCAAGCACTCTGCCACTGAGCTACAGCCTCATTGCTTTTAATCTTTCTGGCACATTATGATAGAAAAAAATTCAAATTAGGTCAAACCATCAGGAACTGCCCATCATTTTTTTCCTCTTGTAGAATTAATTTTACTGATGTAAACTTTGGCATTTTGTCTTGGTCAGATAATAAAGTATATCGTAAGGAATGGCCCTAGGAAAGTTGTTCTTGTAACATACATAAATATGGTGTCAAGGACTATGTCATGGACATTATCCACTGATTGGCCCTATTATTCATAAAAATCACTATTGTCCCCTCATAAAGAGTAACAGAATGCAGTGTGGGCTGCCTCAGCTGTCCTTACACTTCAGCCAAAGGACAGTTGTCAGAATAATGGATTTTAACACTCCCTGCAGACAGGTGTTTGGAAATCATCACATCTACCCCTAGGACCAAACCCAGAATGAGGTGCCCAAACATTTACCTCTGTGGAAAGGGCTCTAAATGTGACATGGGGACAGAAGAAAGGACCCAAGGTAAATATACACAGACCATTCAAGAAAGAAAGAAAGAAAGAAAGAAAAAAGCAGCTCATCCCAGGAGAGAAATACACCAAAGAATTGCATTCCAACCAGAAGTCCTCCTGGCCTTGGCAATGGTGGGAGGCCCAGTCTGCCTTCCTGCTTCTGTTGGGCAGCCCCAGGAAAAAACTGCTTCTGACAATTATTGTCAGTCTGAAAAAATTTTTCCAACCTCACTTGTTGGCATCTTGGGACAGAAATAGGAGCTAGATTGAGTTTTGCTTCTCAGCAACTATTAACCTGCAAACTGAAGGTCAGTCTGCATGATGAAGATAAAAGAATTTTTGTATTCAAATCAAAATATGAATGAAAAAGGAATGATAATAATCATAACAGAACCTGTTTCTTAGGGGTATGAGGAACAAATGAGGTGCTATATGTAAAGCCCCTGTTTAACACATAGAAAATCTTGTGTGATTATTATTAGCAGTTACAAGTGCTACCTCTAGTGTCAGCCAAAATGAACTGGCCTTAAGATATCATTTAAATGGTCAAGGCACACAATAGTCAAGCTGTGGAACTAACCTAGATGCCCTTCAATAGATGACTGGATAAATAAAATATGGTACATATATGCAATGGAATATTACTCGGCCATAAAAAAGAATGAAATGATGGCATTTGCTGGCAAATGGATGAAACTGGAGACTATCATGCTAAGTGAAATAAGCCAATCCCAATAAAACCAAGGCTGAATGTTTTCTCTGATATGCAGATGCTGATTCACAATAGGCAGTGGGGAGGGAACAGTGGAGGTTCACCAGATTGGACAGGGGGAAAGAGGGATATGGAGGGGGAATGGGAATGAGAAAGATAGTAGAATGATTGGGTTTCTAGCTTCATATATGAATACACGACCAGTGTAATTCCACACCATGTACGACGACAAGAATGGGAAGTTATATCCCATGTATGTATGATATGTCAACATACATCCTACTAAAAAGAACAAATAAAATAAATAAATGGCCAAGGCATCCAGTCTAGCAGAAAAGAGAGGAGAGGAGGAGGAGGAGGAGGGTAGTAGGAAAGAGGGGAGGGGAAAAGGGATTGATAGAAAATGAGGAAGAAAACAAGGACATAAAATCTGGAGCCTAAAGATATGACTTAAAGATTATCTTTTAAGATCTGCCATTTGTCTTGTGAATTGGTCTAAAATTTCACTAAATCCAATCTAATAGATGACATTTTGATAAATACTTGCTAATCAGAGAACAGGAAATTCCTAAAGAGGTTAGGAAATTATGTCAAGAGGTGAACAAATCCATAGACACAGATATTGTATGTATGTGTGTTAGAATCAACAAAAACAAACATTGTTTTATTACTAAATTCTTAGGGACTTCTTATCAGTTTCTCCTCAAACAAAAGACACTGTTCTATGGGAAAAGTGATAAGAAAACCAGAGCACATGATGTTCTTAAGAGAGAGTTGTCCTTCTATTTCCAATGATGGCAGGCTCATTTTATAATCATTCCTTTCACTGAAAATAAATAGAGGCATGCATCATTTTTATGGACTTCCATAATGGGCTTTTTTGGCACAAGGAACACAAACATGAATACATTGTGGTCCCATGTTCAGAGTTCATTAGGAATATGCAACATGGGGACTATCACACATAATTGCAGTAGTGATACACACACACACACACACACACACACACACACACACACACACACACAAATCAAGTAGGATGATTTTCACCAGTAAAGGCTTTTAGAAGAAACTGGATTTTGAACTGTGCCTGAAGGATACTGGGGAAGGTCTTCCAGGTAGACACTGAAGCAGCTTTTCAAGAGGCAGGAATTCACATCCTGGGTAGGAACAGCAAGTGAATCAGCTTGACTAGAATAGAAGAGCTCTAATGAGGAAAGTAAATTCTAGATTCCCTTATTGGAAAGAATCATAGCTGATACTTTCATATGATCCTCACAGTGATAGCACAGGACCTTTTATAAATAGGTAATAAATAAATTCTGGTGGGTCCACTAAGTCTACCTAACTCAAAGGCAACCTGTATTTTATGGAGGACTTACCGTAATAAGAAATGAATTGAAAGAGACTCGGCAGGTGGGGTGGAGAGGTAAACCATCACTTGGAGGGAATATTGTTGGCCTTCAATTCTGAGAAAAAAGAGAACTGAAACTAAACTAAAAAATCTGAACAAACTCTTCTTGGTACTCCTGTTTATTTTTGGTCTGTCAAGCCAAAGACAAGAGATGCCCAGAGGAATTCTCCCGAGATTCTGGATCTGAAAGACACCAGTGACTCCAATATTGAAAGCCTTTTCTGTCTCTACTTTTTCAACTCCTTGGCGTGTTTAAACAACATGGATGGCTCTCCTTTCCTCAAGCTACTTTTCTACCTGGTGGAGGAGGAGGATGGGACTTGTCCAAGATTTGAACTGGCTCACGAAGAACCTCCTGTTTTCCTTTTCTTAATATGAGGGTTCCTTCTTAAGCAATTAATTCATGGTCATATTTTATGTACTTACAATCATTTTTAGATTACATATGAAAATATTCATGTTAGTCATCTGCCTTAGTTGCTGTGCATGAAACTGGATTTTGAAGCAAGTTTTAATCCAGTTTAATGACAATTATTTTGATTTTAGGAGTTCATATTAATGCTTGTTTTTCTGAAAAGAAGAAGAGGAGGAGGAGGAGGAGAAGGAGGAGAACTCACAATTCCTAAGGCTATCAATTTGAATACTTGGACTGTACTGTTTGATACAGATTTAAAATCACATGGCATGACTAGTTTCATTGCCTACAGAAAACTTTCTTCTAGATCTTTTCTTTGGACATAAACACAGAACCTGTATTGTAATATAGAACGGAAACATTCCAGAAAAATAATCCTCCAAATGTATCTAAATTGCTAGTTTAGCTGTAAGATTCAACTATTTTCCCTCAAAATTACCCCAGGGCACAATGAACTCTCATGGGGTTTTCCATACTAAGGGAAGTTCCAAAGTTGGGGATTGAAAAACTCCATTGAAACAAATGCATTATGTCACTTGAAATAAGAGCATCTGCAAATACTTTACAAAGTAATTTTCTTTGTTCAGCAGAGGAAGGCCAGATGATGCAATATCTAGCTTCCAGCTGCACTTTCCTCACTGGTAATTCAGCCTCTGCTAGTGCCATTTGAAAGACTCCTGACCACTCACTGTGAAATTTTGATGATGTGCTTAAACTTGGCTCTTCATCTCATCACTTAAAAGG